AGGTCCGTGTGGAAGTCATGGGGTACACGGCACACAAGTCTTATCGCCTTTTTTTTTTGCAATAAAAATATTCTATAAAGATTTGTTTTTGTCGTGGTGCCCCATATTAGATGACAGTAGTTTAAATGTGATACAAATTAAGTGTTATACAAGAGCAACTTAACACTTTGTGGGAAGATGAAACAATGTCGATATAGCATGCCGATGACACCAGCTAGTTTTGAAATAATATAATCAATGTGCTGAGACCAAGACATGTGATTTGAAAACGATACACCTAGAGTCTTGAAAGTGCTTACAATTTCTATGGGGGACGGGTATAAAACGATGTCACTCGATAGTGAAATATTCCGATTTTTAGGACTAAAAAGCATAGCTTTAGTTTTATTTTTATTCACTAAAAGATTATTTGATGAGGACCATGCCTCTAGCCCTCTCATTACGTCGTTTGCTATTGGGATGATATCATTACAGTTCCGAGCTGATAAGAAAATACTGGTGTCATCAGCGTAAATGATAAATTTAGCCTGCGGCGCAATATTGATGATGTCGTTTATGCATATATTAAAAGAATGGTCCAAGTATGCTACCTTGTGGCACCCCGGATTGTATAGGTTTTATGTTGAAGACGTTACCACCGATATTGACATACTGACACCGATTATCAAGATATGATTTAATGAGGAGCACAGTGTGTCCTCTAAAAACCGTAGATATGAAGTTTCTGAATAAGCAACTCGTGATTAATAAAATCAAATGCTTTCGTAAAATCTATAAATATGCCGAGTACTACATTCTTTTCTTCAAAATTGCGTAAGATAAATTCTTTTTGATCTAACAAAGCTAGTTCTGTAGAACGTTTCTTTCTGAACCCAAACTGCGACTCTGTAAAAATGTCACGCTTTTCAATAAATACGGTGAGGCGATTGTAGATTATTTTTTCTGGACCTTTTGAAAAAACTGGAAGAAGTGAGACAGGTCTGTAATTGTTTATGTCATTTTTATCACCTTTTTTACGAAGTACTACGACTTTCGCCATTGGCATATTTTTAGGAAATATGGCCGTCTCAAGGCTAAGGTTAAAAATATGTGCTAGGCATCGACTAATAACGTCCAAAACATATAAAACTGGACGTATTTGTATGTCGTCAGCATCGCAGCTATTACTGATGTTTACGCTGCGAAACACTGCTATTATCTCAAGGCATCTTGCATTGAAGTCTACCCACTGCCCTTCCAATCGAAGCCAATCAGAACCCGGCGTCGTTCTGACCTCGTCGCAAGTCGTCTGCTAAAGAAGCAGACGACCTGCTCTCCGCATTGTCTGCAGACGCGCCTAAAGCATGTTCGAAGCAAGTCTGCTTCGTACACGTGTACACTACGAACACGTCTGCGGACATCTGTTGTGTACGACCATAGCCTCCTTCTATACTCACAAAGCCTGGCAGCTCGACGACGGTGCCATACAGAGTGCCCGGTCGCAGATGTGGAGCGCGAGGATCTGGTAGCACAGAGCATCGAAGAGCCATTTCTCGGGGAACATGGATGTCAGCGCACAGCTCTTGCAGCGGCGACGACCCGAAACGCACTTGTTCGCATGGGAGAAGTGTGTTTCGGCGTCTCGCCGCAGCGGGGCGCCAGTCACGTGGCTCCCCTCTCATCCGTTGTCTGCCGCTCCACCTCATTTCGGCGGCCGCTTCTCGTGGCGATCTGCCAGGCTTTGTCAGTATAGAGGAGGATATGCCGCTGCACTCGTCGAACGCTTTCGAATGCGAAAGCCAAACGCTGGATGTCGGCGTTCCGCGTTCTAAGGCGTTCCAAGATGGCGGCGGGGATAAAGGCACCTAGGTTTACGTCTGCCCACTGATCATTCCAACCAGAACTCGGTGTTCTGACGCCCCCTCTCGTATCCTCTTCTCCCTCAGTTCCTCGGTGCATAAAGAATAAAACTTAGTGGATGCTGACATGAAAACATATACGGGCTGTTTTGACTTTGATTCGAACAGATTTATTTAAAAATATGGGGTGAGAACTAGACGAGTTCTATCTTCACCGCCTACGGATAGGACTCGGCGGACATTCGATGAAGAGTTAGTTTTCACGGTAAGTTGACTAAGTAACTAAAACATCTCAAATAACACGTTTTAATATTGGTTTCAGGGGTCACGTTCCGATGGCAGTATTGACGGAAATTACTATTTATTAGAGGCCAGAATTATATAAAGAATTTTCGAAAACGTAGTCGTTTTAGATATATATTATTCAATCAATGTTCGCGTGTTTTCACCCGATTGAAAAATTGCGTTCAGAAAGAGCCTCTCAATGATGTTTGTAAGTCCGCTATGACGCTTGGAAGAGTGATATTGTCGCTTTGATCACGTCTTCACCATCTGACAGCCTCTCCTTGGTGGGGGCGCCGACAAAGCAACCGAAGACCTGATCTGGACGACTACGTCACTTTCTCAATTTGTGGGCTAGGCTTTTTGCGGTCTTTTTCCGCGCAATTTTTAGATCGGGCGAAAAAAAAAAAACGCGAAAATTTATCAATCAATATCTTACAAACCTTTTTGAAGTCTTCAAGTTCAAGTCGTCAATAGTGCGATTCCAAAATAACCCTACAATCTGATCATTAAAACGTTAATTAAGAACTTTTAGCTAATTAGTTAACTTACTGTGACGATTATCCCCTCATCTAATCTCCGCCGATATTGATAAATTGACGGTAAAGACGGCACTCGTCTAACACTCTCATCGCTTTTTTCCATATCTGCTCGAATTAAAATGAAACACCCTTTATTTATATATATATATATATATATATATATATATATATATATACACATGGGCAGTATTTCAAATACAGGTATTTGAAATACGTACTTCAAATACTTTGTGTATTTTGCATTTTTATTTAATTACAAATTGGATAATGTAGTTGACGTGTGTATTTAAATGCCAAAACGTGTTGAATTTTGAGTGAAGGGTTAATCTTCTTGCACGGCGAGAAGCGCACTCAGCGGAGCCGATAAAACCGCCCGGACAGGGAGAAGCATCGCAAAACTTCCGAGTACTCTTGTTTTTATGCATCTGGGTGTAAGATATAGTCTCCATCCTTTATTCGGCCATGGGGCTGTTTTTCTTTTTCTCCTCCGGCTTCATTTTAAAGGCACTCTCCAGAGCAGGAAGAAAACTATGTTCTGCACCGAATGCAGTTTCTCTCAATTAAGCACAAACATTTAGTGACTTTGTGATTACGGCGCTAGTCCACGGCAAGAATAGTGACGAAATGAACGTTTACAGGCAAACTGGCTAAATAAGTGCCTGTGACAACTTGTGACGCTTTCCAGCCTGATTTCCAAGTTTTTGCCTGGAACATTCCAAATGCGCGGGTCGTCCAGATTTTCGTAACTGGTGCGAGTTGCAACAATAAAAAAATTATCTAGCTAGCACTGCGCGTCTTGGTCGTCTCGGTTCTTTGTTGGCCTATTGGGCAGGAGATCGAACTATAGGGGGAGCTTTATCGAGCTCGTTGTGCCCACAGCCCGGTGTTTACTAACACAGAATAACAAAGAAATTTAACCTCGCCATGCACGGTCTGGACACGAGCGCTTCACTCTTACCAGTGCTTTGGTTGCACGAGGAGCGGCTTTCGAATCGTCACCATTAATATCGCTGATCAAAAATAAACAAGAAAACTCGGTTTGTTGTCTCTACAGCTGAAGCGTGCCGCCAGAGGCGTGACTGTTCGGTCTGCTCCCCAATACCAAAATGTAATCGACAAAAAAAGCTGGTTGAAGCTCTGTACTTTTTTCACCTATTACATCAAAGCTGATTACATTTTTTTGTGATTATATTTTTATTACGTTACTAGAGCCTCGCACACTAACTCCCGAGTGTGCGATGCCAAATTAAAACGAGATACCCAGAAACCCGTTGCAGGTGCCCTGAAGTCGCTGACGCAAATTTTGAGGAATGTATTTGGAAAAGTATTTGGAGGAGACCAAATACATTTGGTTGTATACAACCAAATGTATTTGGTCTCCTCCAAATACTTTTCCAAATACATTCCTCAAAATTTGCGTCAGGGACTTCAGGGCACCTGCAACGGGTTTCTGGGTATCTCGTTTTAATTTTTAATCTTGTACTTAAATGCTTTTTTGGAAATGTAATTAGTATTGTAATTAAATACATTTTTGACACAATATTTTGTATTTGTATTTCGACACATATTTGCACGTATTTTGCCCATCCCTGATATATATATGACAGTATAATTCGCAAAATAGAAATATGGTCAGCTGTATAATCGACTTCGACATCCTGATAAGATGCGTCCATCATCAACAGTGTTCATTTATTTATTATTTTTTTTTTTTAATTTGAGGTTCAACTAAAGTTATTTCGACTTCGGGTAACACAGCAAAAAAACATCGCGTCTTTCTGTATGATGAGGTATGAGTCGCGGGCTTCGGAACAACACAGTCTTCGCAATGTGATGGAGGAGAATAAAGAGCATATTTGCGCACCATAGGTTCGCGTTGCTTCTCCAAACTGGACTTTTGGGCTGCTCGTTAAAGTGCTCCCAAATGACTGAAACCGATCGCGTCACAAGAACCGTGTGTCTACTAACATTTGTCGGGTCCTATGCTGCGGCAATTTATTCGCGCGTGAAAGCGCGCTGCTCGTGTCTTTGGTTTGAACTCCCAACCCTCGCTTCGTAAACGGGTTACATTTGCTTTAGTGCAGTAGTAACGGTCATCTTGGGTTTGGTTACGCCAAGTTGGGTTAAATGAACTTAGTTTAGAGCCGGTCAGGGTAGATCAGGTTAGGTTGGGTTAGGTTCGACCAGGTTAGGTTAAGATAGGCTCGGTTAGTGTAGGTTAGGGTTGGTTTTATTAAGTTAGGTTCGGTTGGTTACAGTAAAGTTATACGCACGATCCTAACCCGAGCCTTTTTGGCTTCATAACGAATATTTTACGAGAGTTTAGAGGAGACCTCACCTGAGGTTCCCCCTGCTGCGTCCTCCGACGCCTGTGCGTGGTCTTGGTCGCCGACTCCGACAGCAGCAATCTCCCGAAGTCGATCACCATCGGCGTCGCGGTCACGACCGGCGCCGAGGCGCGACGACCTCGGAACCTTTGCGGTTCTGACCCCGCCGCCGCCGCACCCGACAACGACCCGTAACCCTGGAGCGAAAGCATGGACAACTTCGAGGGGCTCGGCTAGCGAGCGTCGCAAGCGCGCGACGTTGTCTGCGCCCCGCGGTTCTCGCTCCACCTCTGGGTTAGAACCCGTCAGGGGTGGGCAGAGCTCGAAGTCGAGGGGTGTGAAAACCCGGCGCACGCGCACTTGGGTGTGCTTGGAAGTTCGGGTGCGTGTGTGTGTGTGTGTGTGTGTGTGTGTGTCTGAGTGTGTTTTGTGGCTGTTGTGGCTGTTTGGGCGTGGACGGGTCAGGCGCGCCGGCTCCGCCGGCTATGATGACTGTGCCGACTCCTGGTGGCGGCTCCGTAAAGTTGCGTGTTCGTGTAGCGTGCCTTGACTTTAGAGTGCTTCCAACTGCTCGATCGAGTGTTTATGGGCCGCGTTTGCTGTAAAGACTCTTGCCCTTGTTCGTCGTCAAGCGTCTTTGCCTTTAAACCCTCTTATTTTCTCGTCACTCGAAAACGCAGAGCATTAGCACTTGCAACCAATAAGCACACGAGGCGTCCGCCATTGAATTGCAAATGCTCAGCATGGGTTGCGTTGCTCCCTCTCTTAAACCTAGGCTCTCTACGCCGGCTGTGATCACTGTGGCGACGCCTGGTGGCAGCTCCGAGAAGCTGACTATCAGACGGCACGGAACAAGGGGTTCGTAACTGCTTCGGGATTCCATTTCTGTCGTTTGTATGATGATCTCGAAAGGAAGCCAAGAAGGTTCGGCTGCCTTCTTCGTTGTGTGGAGAAAAACAAATAAAAAAATCGCAAAGCACGAAAAAAAAAAAAAAAAAAAAAAGAAGAAGAAAGTAGTAGAGAAGGATAAAGGGACAGTTGTCGGCAACGTTACTAAAACACTGAGTTGGGAAACTCCCATAGAGACAGCTTTGAAAAAGTGGCCCCAATCTGTCCCCGAGCACCGAACTAATGACGAACACGACGCCACCATTTCTCCCGCAGCGGCCTCTCGAAGAACTACACGTCACATCTGATTTGGCTTTGAGAAGAGATACAGCGGTAGAGGTTACAGGGATGCCACCCCTGTCTCCCCAGCGGACGCGCCGCGTTCAACTACCGACGTTAAAATGCACCTAGGCCAGGACGTGCTACCTGAAAGGCCCGCTGAGGCATGGTTGTATGAAAACAATATTAATTGTTCCGCAAAACCTTGCGAACTAAAGATGATAAAAACATCACGCACCCATCATTTGGTACTAAACTCCAATAAATTTCATACAAAAAGAGTCTTTTCCGTTTGTTTTTACGCAAAAACAGGCTTTCAAAAAGCTCGATGTGACCTTAGTAAAGACAAACGAAAAAGAGTGGCGCTGTTGTCGCATTTAGTTCGGTCTCGGCGGACGCCAGCGGCCCAGGTCCAGGTTTCGATGGCGAGTTTCCCAACTGAGTGTTTTAGTAACGTTGGTTGTCGGCAACGTTACTAAAACACTCAGTTGGGAAACTCGCCGTCGAAACCTGGGCCGCTGGCGTCCACCGAGACCGAGCTAAATGCGACAACAGCGCCACTCTTTATCGTTTGTCTGTACTGTGGTCACCTTGAGCTTTTTGAAAGCCTGTTTTTGCGAAAAAACAAACGAAAAAGACTCTTTTTGTATGAAATTTATTGGAGTTTAGTACCAAAAGAGGGGCGCGTTATGTTTTTAAAATCTTTAGTTTGCAGGGTTTTGCGGCACAATTAATATTGTTTTTAGACAACCATGCCTCAGCGGGCCTTTCAGGTAGCACGTCCCGCCCTAGGTGCATTTTAACTTCGGTAGCTCAACGCGGCGCGTCCGCCGGGGAGACGGGGTGGCACCTTGTAACCTCTACCGCTGTATCTGTTCTGAAAGCCAAATTAGAAGTCACGTGCAGTTTGTGGAGTGGCCGCTGCGGGAGAAATGGTGGCGTAGTGTTCGTCATTAGCTCGCTGCTCGGAGACAGTTTGGGGCCACTTTTTCAAAGCTGTCTCTATGGGAGTTTCCCAACTGAGTGTTTTAGTAAAGTTGGTTGTCGGTCTGGGCCGCGAATGCGGTCACTGGCGGCCATCTTTAGGTAGAGTTATATCACCTCTAGCCAATGTAAGCTGCTGCAGCCGCTATCATCCATCCATGGCAGATAGCGTTTTGGCAGGTGGGTTGGCAGGCCGCGGTCAAAATAGCGTGGGTGATATTGCGTGCTTGATTAAAATTATTTGACGAAACATGTTTTTGAAACCCGGCGTGAACAGTAGTCCGGTTTTTGAGGACCAGGTAAAAGTTTCACGAAATCGCAGCACCGGGAGAAAAGCAGCACAGCACGTATCGAAAGTCGCATCGAAAGAAGCATCGAAAGCAGACGACGGTACGGAGTCTGCTTTTGATGCGAGCTGCGCTGCTTTCCCCCGGTGCTGCGCTTTCGTAGAACTTTTGCCGGGTCCTCAAAGATGAGGCTACCGTTCACGCCGGGTTTCAAGAATCTGCTTCGTCGAACAACTTCAATCAAGCACGAAATGTCACCCACGGTACAGTGTACTAGATCCACGGCTATTTTTATGGCAGCCTGCCGCCATTGCGCTGTCCGCCATATTACTATGATGGCTGATATAACTTAGAGTCACTAAATAAAGCTACGCTTTCAGAGTACCGAAACTCCCAAACTACGCGTCTGAAGCACGTCGGGGGCCGCCATCTTGGGTCCGCGCGCAGATGGAGGAGTGACTGTGGCTGAGCCAAGCCGAGCTGTAGCCGTCGACTGCTACAGCTGCCGCGGTCGCGACTGTGGCAGCGAATCAAAGTCGTGTTGTTCGTATCTTGACGTGACACGGAAAACGCGCGTGCTGAGCGACGGACTTGAGCGTGCGCGCGCAGTAAACAGCAAACAGCAGCAGGCAGAGGATCGCTGGACCCAAGATGGTGGCGTTGAAAAAACGCGATGATGATGATAGCGACTCACGTGACTGCCGCTGTCCAATGATGCCGCAGTAAACCAGAATACTGTTATTGTCGGCAAAATGCCAAAGAAAAGGAATGCGGTACTCTGAAAGCGTAGCTTATTTAGTGATTCTAATAGCGAGTTCGTTTCACGGCACTCGTGCCCACCCGTGCCCACTCGCAGCGTGTTCCACGCTGCGAGTGGGCACGTTCTCCGGGTTCGTTTCGGCCGGCACTCCACGAGTGGTTGCACTCTCCGAGTTCGTTTCAGCCAACGTTACTAATGGCGAATTCCACTGGGCGTTTTGGAGCGCGCCGGGATCAGTCGACCAGATCCGGATTGGAGCACAAGATCCGAACGGGGTCGCGCCGCCTACGGATCCCCAGTGGAACATGACCACTGCTCCGGGATCGGCGGATGCCTTCCCGTCATTCAACTGCCCGGGAATCCCCTTTTCGCGGCCGCCGCGGTCGTTTCGAAGACATTTTCGCTACGCGGCGCTAACACGTGTTCGACGCACGAGTGGCAGGAATGGCTCAGGCGCTTCTAGCAAAGATTGCCGGAATGCCCGTAGCGCGGCAAATACCTTCTCTTCTCCTTCCTGGAAAACGAACCGGCTGTCGAGCCAATGGGTAAGCAAGCGGCCATTACGAATTCTTCTGATGTCGAGACAATCTAGGAGCTTAGCCCGCCACGTGCTTCTTCTTCTTCTGAGGCGAGATGCCCCACGAGAAAAGAAGTCACGTGTGTGCGCCGAGGGCTGGCCCGGCTGGCTTCCGGTTGAATCCGTCGAAATCGTGGGAGCGACTTTTCTCGTGGCGAATTCCACGGGTCGTTTTGGAGCGCGCCGGGATCGACTTTTCCGGAGCGAGCCTATTTCACTGGGCGATCGGGATCGAGACGAACGTGTTCACTGGTCGTTTTGGATTACCTCCCGCTCCAGATCTCGATCTGGATCCGAGAAAGTCGCTCCCCCGATTTTGGCGGATTCAACCGGAAGCCAGCCGGGTCAGCCCTTGGCGCACACACGTGACTTCCTTTCTCGCGGGCATCTCGCCTGATCTCGCCTCAGAAGAAATGGTAATGGCCGCTTGCTTATTCCTTGGCTCGACAGCCGGTTCGTTTTCCAAGAAGGAGAAGAGAAGGGTTTTGCCGCGCTACGGGCATTCCGGCAATCTTTGCTAGACGCTCCTGAGCCATTCCTGCCGCTCGTGCGTCGAACACGTATTAGCGCCGCAATTGCGAAAACGTTGATACTTGGAACCAGCCGCTACCAGGGGGGCTATGTTGCGCTTTTTGCACTCCCAGGAGACTAGGGAGAGGGAAGTGACGTCAACGACACAGCGAACGCAGATCGGGTGTTGATTTCGTTTTCTTCTGTCAACATCCAATCTGCGTTTGCTGTGTCGTTGACGTCACTTCCCTCTTCCTAGTCTCCTGGGAGTCCAAAAAGCGCAACATAGCACCCCAGACACCTGATTTGTTTCAAAAATACCCAGGACGTTTTGGGGCAATGAATCGATCACATAGCAGGCGGTAGACAAGTAGACAGCGTTGAAAAATATTTATTCCACCGATTGTTATGAAGGCCGATGGCGTCGGTGTCGCAGTTTTAAAGCACTGTCAGTTCAGGGGGGCTATGTTGCGCTTTTTGGACTCCCAGGAGACTAGGGAGAGGGAAGTGACGTCAACGACACAGCAAACGCAGATTGGGTGTTGATTTCGTTTTCTTCTGTCAACATCCAATCTGCATTTGCTGTGTCGTTGACGTCACTTCCCTCTTCCAAGTCTCCTGGGAGTGCAAAAAGCGCAACATAGCACCCCAGCTCAACACCACGTTACAAAAGACGGTTTGGGGTACTGCCGGTGCTAACGCAATTTCACAGTAGAAATAGGAATTGCATGAAAGAACCGGACAGAAACACTTCATACGGTGGCATAAATGCCGAACATATATCAGCGATGTCACTTTCCTCGGTTGGGGCTATCTGCTTTGTCAACGAATGATGAACATCTCGGTAAAATAAAGAGCGGAAAATACTCCCCGTGTCAAGTTTTCTAATTACAGCCACTGGTTGATGTCGTGCCGTGGTAATTCCCGGCCCTTCGAACGCACTAGCACTTTGTAGAGTCACATTTTCAGCGATTCCGCGCCGCACACGAACGAAGGTAAACAATCAAGATGGCGGAGTGTTCCCCGTATTGTCCTCGCCGTCAGTGCGGTGTGATAGCGTTGTCGGATAACAAATCGGGCAACACTGTTGCGGGGCGGCAGCAATATGTTGCCCGACTGTTGTTGCCGCGATGTGACAGGGTCGCCGGCAACACGACTTCCCC